CCCCAAAACCCCAAAACCCCAAAACCCCGTCAGTAAACATTGAAAGACAATATTTGTTAATAGATTATTAACATATACTAATATGGAGTCTACATCCTAAAATTAAGCGACAGAGAACTCAGCAACTACAAATCAAGCCACAGAGAAATCTCTCTATATATAAGGAGTTGAAAGTCTTAGAGAAGCTGCATCCATTCTAGTATGCAACTGGACAGATCTAAATTACGCTATTGAACAGGGTTTAAACAACAAAAATCGTAAGCTGAATTTAGAAGATGAGAAGGAGATAGAAGCACTTAAGGAATTAGTTAACTATTTGAAGAGCGAAAGAAAGAGTGATATGGCTTTGAGAAATGAACTTATCTAGAATATGGTAGATTTGTGTAAGTATACAAGATGATGAAATGTTGAATGTAATTATAGGCTTGGCATAGGATGTCGAGTTAGAGGACTTTGAAGACTGTATATTAGACTTTATGGAGATTAATTTTAGCATGATGATTGAAGACAATTCTGCCAAAGAGATCGGTGCAGCTATGATGAAAATTAGAAGAGAATTATTTACCAGTGCGTAAAATAAGCAAGTACTGGAGTCTGATGAGTTGTAAAAGCTTAGAGAGTTCAATGAATAGAAGAATCTGGCTAAAAAAAGGAAATAGGAAAAAGAAGCTTAAGAAAGGCTAGAGGTTGGAGAAGATGATATGGATGAGGAAGAGGAAACGGAATAGAAAGAAGAAAAACCTAAATAAACTGGGCCAGTATTTGATGATGATGGATTTGAAGTCGTAACAACCGAAAAGAAAGGCAGAAGGAGATGAGGCTATACGATATCCAATGATAAAGACAGTATTGTTAAGCTAATTAATATTTATTGAGAGTGTGGTCCTTCCTTAATTGTTTAATTTTGAAAGCATCAATAAAATTTTATCGAATATATTACAATTTAAATCAATTAAAACTATCTATCAACACTTAAAGTAATGGAAGACTCTAATAATAATTCCCCAAGTAAACTCTCTGAAGTTGACGAGGATGAGGACCAAGAAACCCCCAGAGAGGAAGATGAGAATAACTCACTTTATATGTCTCAGATATAGTACAAGGAACTAAAAAAGTAAGTAGAGTCAATGAAATGTCGGATCATTCAAGGATTTATAAAGTCAGAAGTTTTCAAAATAGAAAATTCTTGGGATAGGGAATGGCTAATGATTAATTATTTTATAGTCGAAGTTCATAGGTCGGAAATGTCGATACTATTAGATGGCTAAGGAGTAGACACAAAAAGACAACAATGAAGCCTTATCTTATGACTAGCACTGAGAATAAGCACATTCAATAGATCAAGACAGTCTTTCAAAACTTTGACTTTGATGGCTCAAGTAAGTCATACTAACATATGAATGGTAATCAACAAATTTAGAAACTCTTGATGCTGAGGAAGTCTTTCAAATGCTAGAGCAAAATAACATTGACATACCTATCCCCACACTAAAGAGCTTGTTTTCTATAGTCAAGCCCAGAAATCCCTCTGAGCTTAGAATGGGGGAGTTCATTCGATTCTCATTCGATGAAACTGCAAATAAAAGTAAAACTATTTAAAAGGTAATCTTAATAAATGCATGTAGAATTCAGAAAATTGATTCAGAAAATCAGGAGTAATCTCAGAGAAGAATCGTTAACAAAGCAGAACTTTTTCTTGCCATTCGCCTTCCCTACTCTTCTAAACTTTTTGAGTGCTAAAGCCACTAGGAATAATTTACTCAAGCAAATTAAGAAAAATGTAAGACTAAAAATATCTGATCCCAAATTTAGGCTCTTAAAGTGGACTTAGTATTTGAGGATATCAAAATGTTCGAAGAGGTGCTGACTCTAAGTCAGAAATCAGAAAAGACCGAAAATCAAGAAACCTACATCTACAGGCAAATTAAACTAGAGAAAGAGCTGGAAAAATTAAGAAAAAAGATTAATAAAGATTTAACTAAAGAAGAACTCCGAAGGCTGTTACCATTTGAGGCGTTTCTAAGTAAGGCTTTGATAGATGAGGAGAGTGAAGAAGATGATTCATCTATGTATATGGCTTGCAACCCAAAGATTAAGTTTGATAAGGATGACATCCCAGACGAGAATGAGATGGACTAATTTCTAGCGAAAAGGTAGAGAATAAACTTACCATTAATAAGAATAAATGATCAATCCCCAACCTAAAATGTATCTCATGATAACATTACGATTAAAAATTAAAGTCCAGACAAAAACGATTTCGGCTTCACTATAAATACATTATCAATTACGCAATAGCCACCTGCTATTTAAACTGATAGAGAAAATAGTGCAAGGAAGAGAGAGTAGTTTATCAAAGACTTGCCTAAACTTCAAGTACCACTAAATGATTCAAAGAGTACTAACTCAAATTAATTAACCCCAGTCAGCGTAAGAAATCTTAATCTGAGTCCACAGCCCAGAACTGATTAGGCTCATATGCTTCAAATAAATTAGCTAAAAACAGGATAGACTCCATTATTGAATTTAAAGAAATTACCTTTGGGTCTGAGCCAAGCTTATATTAAAGAAGCTTAATAAATAGATGAACTAATCTCGCACAATTCATTCAGAGTAATGTCGGACAAAGAAAAAGTCTCATTGACTCATAGGACTATTATACCTGAAAGTCTTCTCAAAGATTCCTACCAGACAAAAGAAAAAATAAAATTTGAAGAGGACTTGCAAAGAAAAATAGAGTATGCTTAAGCAGAGACATTGGATAAAGTTGGGAAAATAATTAAAGATGCTTAAGTAAAAGCTGAGAAAGATAGACCAAGGATAATTGGCTAGTATTTAAAGGAAAATTAAAGAATGAATAACAGATAGAGCCGGATAAAGTTGAAATCATAAAATTAATTTTTCAGAATTAGAAATGTCCAATCACATAGCACTCTTAGTTTTGGAAATTCAAGCAATTAATTAGAGAGCGTTAAAGGCTCACCTAGTATAAACTACTACAAATATTACAAGTAGAATGAAAGTAATTAGAATGAGTAAAATGTTTCCAATTAAATAGAAAGAGCGTCAAGTGGACTAGTTTAAGTTAGAGATGATGCGATCTAAACGAACACTATAAGAGCTTTGAGTAGTCAGTTGCTTAAAAGATCTGCCTTCTCATCATAAACTAGACTCAGAACTTTATCTAGTCATTCAAATCTTTTCTCTATACCACATAAGAATGAAAATGTTAATAGGAGATAAAATTTTTCAACCAAGAATTTTCAAATAAAAACTTCTCCATAGACTCCTAGTGTAGAGATAGCGTAGTAATATAGAGACCTTACAACAGCTGCTTCCTCAGCAAATATATTGGCTGGTGAAAGGCCAGTAATGAATCAAAAGGAAATGAATCTAGCCTTGAAAAAATTCTCTACTAATGAGTTCTAGCATTTCTCAATTATGCTTAAAGTGAACTCTCCTAAGAGTAGGCAAGGTATCACACCTAGAGAAAAATAAGAGGTAATAAAGGAGTCAATAACTAACGTTGTTGGAAACGCAGTGGCTAATTCCAGAATAAAGTACTACGAGCCAGATTTGAAAAGTTAAAAATGGCATGTTAGCTAGCCATTTATATCTAGAGTGAAGAATAACTTGTAAACAATAAGTACTCATGCCAATTAAGCAAATATAGCAATGAAAAGGAGAGAAAAAATTACACCTTTTAGCTTTAATATGTCGTAGCAGGATAAATTCTAAACTTTTGGAGTAAAATCTACGGCTGATTTAAAGCGATCTAATGACTCATAGCCTAAGAAAAGTAGAGTTGCAATTCTATAAAAGAGAGTAATAACCCCTAATTCAATGAATTTACGTAGCTCTAGTAGTATGGCTCAATTGAGGCCTCATCTATGAAAATATTTTAAAGTTAGCTAAAGATGATTAAGAATATAAGTTTAAATTAATGTGTTAGAATTGAATATATCAGAATTAATGATGTTGTTTAAATTTAATAACTTTGAATACTTTAATTTCATAAATGGAATCATCATAATAATAACAATACGAATAGTTAAACCCTTCTTCATAACTCTAATAAAGTTCCATCTGCTCAGTTCATCAGTAAGTTTATCGCAAAATATGTACAAAAGACCAGTAGTTCTTGTGCCAAATGTGTGAGAATGACCACAAAGAGCACATTGTCAAGTCTCTGGCCTTTGTTGCTGAAGAAGTTTCTGAGTCTCTTAGAGTAATTATGGTCCCTAATGAAAAGATGATTGAAAACTTTCAAAACATAATCAAAGATTCCCAAGATAAGTTCAAAAAGAGTAATGTTAGAAACTTTTTGCAGATTATCACGAACATGATTAGGAACATAGTTAAGCAGTTTGAGAAGAGCTAGGTATTAGATGACTGTGCAAGTCTAGCAGAAGGCTACAAAACTAAAGTTGAAAAGATCAATAATTTAAGGAAGAAAATCAAGTAAGGTGACAAATAATGCATTGAAGTCTTAAATTAGAAATAAGAGATTGAAGAAACAATAGCTGAAATTAATCGGGATTAGAAATTAGCTGAAATAGCAATGAAGGAATTGAGAGGAGTTAATTCAGAGGATTTGAATGTCTAAATAGGAGATTAAAAGCAGTAGGATTCATTGAGAGAACAACTTATGTTTTCATTTTTGGAATTAATTAAAGAGAAGAATATACCATTAGCCTCTTTACTTATTCCAACTGGCTTATCAATGATCCTCAACACCTAGTTACAATAAAATCAAAGTGACCAGGCTGAGAGGTTAACAAACTTATTCAGCCCAAAATAGCAGAGTGGTTTATTCTAATTCGGATCTGGATTGGAAGGCAATTTTAATCATGATCAATTAGTTAGTCCACGTTAGATCAACTTTATTGAAAAAGAAAATTACGATTAAAGAAACACAATGCTGCAAGCTAAAATTCAAGATAAATTTGAGGTAATTGAATAATCAATTCAAAAAGTACACAATGATTTCATGAATATGGTGATGGATTTCAACCAAGATTATTATGTATCATGCGCCTCAGATTTCACTGTCAAAGTATGGTCTAAACAAAGCTTCAGCTAGGTTGAGTCATTTTCAATGAAAGAAGAAGTAGTCTGCATGGGCAAAGCTGCTGATGATTAACTTATCTGTGGAATGATAAATGGTGTGATAGGAATAATAGATATAGCAGCATTGAGAATTCTTAGGATCTTAGATAAAGCTCATTCTGGAACTGTAATATCTTGCTTGGCATTAAACAAACTCGATCTATAATATGTAGTAACCTAAGATGATGCAAGAGAGATCAAGGTTTGGAAGTTGAATGATTTTAGTGTACCTTTGATAAAGATTATTGGTAGATCCTATAATCCAGTGTGGTACGTGTAAACCCTTATCCAAATTGATCTAGAGTTAATAAAAGACCCTGTCATTATTTCAGCTTGTGGTAATGAGCCGAAAGTTGTGCTGTATAGAATAGACCTTGGAAGGAAAGAATTAGAATAAATATCTTCATGCTAGCTGAAAGGAATTCCAACTGCTCTTGTTCAATTAACATCTTAATTTTGCGCTGTTTCATCAACATCTGAGATTGAATTTATCGATGTAAAAACAAGTCAGGTAGTAAATATAATTCAGACTTAAGCAGCTAAGTAAGGAGAAAATAGTCTTCCTCCCTTATATTAAAGCCAGAGTAATGTCATGACTATGTCAGTATTACCAGTAATAGATGATCCCCTAAAGAAATATTTGGCTTTCTCAGGCTAGAATAAAACAATCACAATCTATAAAATCGATACTATTCAGAGATGCTAATCAAATCTAATATTTTCTATACAGACCTCTCATTTAAATACTATAAACAATCTGAGCTTTGTCAAATCCTTTGATCAATATACTAGCTATATAGTCACAGCCTCAATTGATAAGTAAAAGGGCATCTACAAGGTATTACTCCCTCGACCTGTCCTTTAGGATCACTCTTCTCTTAACACAAGCTAGTCGTCGCCTCTTAAGGGCAAGTCAATGAGTCGAATGGGTTCATAAGCATAATTTGGAGCTGGAATAAAGGCTAATGCAGAGAATTAAAGTGAGAAGTTCAAGTTTTTAAACGATTATTTAGGCTAGAAATCTCAGGGCAAAGACAAGAATACTGCAAGCTGCTGTGCTATTTTCTGAAAACTATAAAGACTCAAGATAATTAATTGAATCAAAGCTTAAAGGATGTATTAAATTATATAATTAGAACTAAATTTGATTTAAAGAATTACTATCTCTCTCCACTGTAATATATTTAGAAGCTCGGGGTTTTGGGGTTTTGGGGTTTTGGGG